TATTTTATTAATATGAAAAAAAGTTAGCAGAACAGTCGAAAATTTCGGTCAGAAATAATTTTGACAATTTTTCTATGCATTGGGAATTTGCCGTAGCAGCTAATTTAATTATTCGTGAAGAAAAAGTAGATCAAATAAATTGTTTAATTATTTTTTGTAGTTAATATCAAGAAAAGTTAGCAGAACAGTCGAAAATTTCGGTCAGAAATAATTTTGACACTTTTTCTATGCATTGGGAATTTGCCGTAGCAGCTAATTTAATTATTCGTGAAGAAAAAGTACATCAAATAAATTGTTTAATTATTGTTTGTAGTTAATCTCAAGATAAGTTAGCAGAACAGTCGAAAATTTCGGTCAGAAATAATTTTGACACTTTCTCTATGCATTGGGAATTTGCCGCAGCAGCTAATTTAATTATTCGTGAAGAAAGAGTACATCAAATAAATTGTTTAATTATTTTTTGTAGTTAATATCAAGAAAATTTAGCAGAACAGTCGAAAATTTCGGTCAGAAATAATTTTGACACTTTTTCTATGCATTGGGATTTTGCCGTAGCAGCTAATTTAATTATTCGTGAAGAAAGAGTACATCAAATAAATTGTTTAATAATTTTATTTTATTAATATGAAAAAAAGTTAGCAGAACAGTCGAAAATTTCGGTCAGAAATAATTTTGACACTTTTTCTATGCATTGGGAATTTGCCGTAGAAGCTAATTTAATTATTCGTGAAGAAAGAGTACATCAAATAAAATATTTGACGTTTGTAAGAATTATAAACCTAAACATTAACAGTAGATTCTAAAATCTTTGTCAGAAATAAGATTCGATAAGTATGTTTTTATGTGGAATTTGGTCGTAGTGTGATAGTGGAGTATATAGATTTATTGTTAAATAAACGAAGCTGAAGTAGGCAACGTTTATGTAAACGATTTTTAAAGAAATAAGTTTTTAAATTTAAAAATTCTATAATTTTTTGCCTAAAAAATATTTCTTGTAGTTTTCATTAAGGGAATGTGGGCAAAGGAAGTTTTTTTGTGGTTTGAAACTTTCTCTGAAATAAAAAATAATTTCGGGTTAAAATTTTTTAAAAATGATTTCGTTCGGTACAAGGAATCTCGCAGTTCTACTCATTTTATATAACTGAAAATGTTAGACAAAAATCTTTTTTCATTTTAGAGTGATACGTATACTACCAAAACACATGTTCCCATACTAGGTCACGTGAGATGTTCCCACATACCCTTAATCAAGAAATTATAAAAAAATATTTTTTTTAAGCAAAAAATTATAGAATTTTGCATTTTAAAAAATTATTTCTTAAAAAATCGTTTATGTAAACATTGCGTACTTCAGCTTCATTTAAATAAGTCGTTTTTGACTTACTAATTATATTAAAATGATTGTGAGGATGAAAGAATATAAATTGTAGAAAATTCTGATAGAATATTGTGAAGTTTAGTGTCATTTTTAAATATTTTGAGAAACTAATTGTGGGATTTGATTACGGCAAATTTACGGCAAAATTATGTGTGTTCAGATTTTTTTTATCCTTTCATTTACAGTGGTTGCACTGCTAACTTGATATCAAGTTAGCAGTGCACCCTGTTTTTTTTAAAAAATCAAAAACGGCAAAATTGGGAATTTCACGAATAATTAGCGGCAAATTAGCGGCAAATTCTCCAATATTGCATTTTTGATTTTACGAAAGTTGTTTGTCTAACTTGATGTACGTGATAAACTGTTTTATATGCAACATAAAACTTTTTGACACATCAATTATAAAGTAGAATAATTACTTTATTTATTTTTATATATTTTATTATTATTTTCAACATGAACTAGTATAAAATTTTTTAACTAATTTAAATCAGTGATTATTAAAATTTCACAGTACAATTAGTTATTGTTTTCCAATTTTTTAAAAAATAATTTTAAAAAAAAATTGAAATTGAAACTGAAAATAATAATTAAAATTATTTATTGTTGTTATTATTACTATTACTATTATTGTTATTAATACTATTATTGTTATTATTAATATTATTATTTTTATTATTATTATAATTACAGGGTTGCTACAAGACCTAGAAAACTCGGAAAAGTCATGAAAATTTAAAAATATACTTCTGTATCAACCCTGTAATGGTATGTAAATTTTATTAAATTATTCGTTAAAAAAATTGATAAATTTATTTTTGATTTGTTTAAATTCATTTTTTTTTAATTTAACAAATATATTTGTGCAAAAACGAAAATTTTTAAATTTAAACATTCCCGCCGTTTGGATTTGCAAGTTGATTTACCGGAAGTGATGCTTTCTTAGCTGGCCAATCAGAATGTTGAGGAATAGTGAAATAGTTGGAAAAATGTTCTCTAGAATTGATGGCGTCCTTGGTGAGCTCCTGGATTTTCAACAAAATAAAGGTGCTTATATACCTCAAATTTCGATCAGATGAACATTATTTCTGGACCGTGAAAATGCGTGAAAAGTCATTTTCACGGCGGGTATTTTTGAATTGTTTTATACAAAAAATGTTTTTTTAAGAAATATAATATTAAATAATTGTTTTAATATGTAAGAACACTTTAAAATAGTGATAGAGTGATGATTTGATTAAAAAATTTAGCAAATTTTGCTTTAAAACGTTTTCTGCTACAAGAAAGTGTAAAATGACGATGTTTGTGAAATGGTTTGTACAGTGCTTCTTCCTTGTTAGTGTCTCTCAGAGTTTTGTTTATGTTATGTCGGTTCTTTTTAACTTGTAATAAATAATGAGTGCTGAAAATAAATCGGTAAGTTGAAATGTTTATCAAATAAATTTAAATTCAACTAATTGTTTCGAATAACTGAAAGAAACATGTACACATGTACACTGTAGAAACCATTTCACAAACATCGTCATTTTACACTTTCTTGTAGCAGAAACGTTTTAAAGCAAAATTTGCTAAATTTTTCAATCAAATCATCTTTTTATCACTGTTTTAAAGTGTTCTTACATATTAAAACAATTATTTAATATTATATTTCTTAAAAAAAACATTTTTGTTTAAAACAATTCAAAAATACCCGCCGTGAAAATTACTTTTCACGCATTTTCACGGTCCAGAAATAATGTTCATCTGATCGAAATTTGAGGTATATAAGCACCTTTAGGTGAGATTTTTATTATTATTTACTCGAATATTTGTTAAAATGTTTATAAGAACATGTGACGATCGTTTATTTGGTATATTTTTGTTAAATATTAATTTTTGATGTGTAAAGTTAGTACGTCAAAAAATTTTGTTCAATTCAAGGTTATCTTGGTCAATTTACGTTAATTCTTTAAAAAAAAATTATTATTTATACTTTGCTCCATATTTCACATAATTTTTAATTATTTGATAATTACATATTCAATAATTTATATAATTGGATATTATTAAAACAATCTTGAGGAGAATTGACAATTGTCGAGTGTTGCTAGAAGTAAAAAAGTTAATATTTTTGTTACCTTGGGTTGGCATCGTTGGCATTGAGGATCATTGCAAATGGCGTCGTCAAAGAGAAAAGAACCATTTTTGTATCAGGAAAAAAGAAAATTAGAATATTTCGATAACATTTTTTTGACACTGGAACCTAACCTAAAGTTTAGCATGTATAATTAAAATCGTAATAATATAAAATTTTTATTTTCTTTATATTAAATATGAAAATTGAAAAAAAATGAATAAAAAAATATATGAAAATATATAAAATATGAATAAAGTTTTTATAAAAAGATAATTTTTGTTATATTGGTAGAAGTAAAAAAGATTAGTTTTTTCCTATCGGTTAGCATTACTGCTCATTGTAATTGGCGCCTTCACAGTAGAAGAACATTTTTTATTCGAAAAATTTTATCTTAAAGTTTTTTTTTAATTAAAAACGATAATTATACATATTTTTTATATAGTTGAATGCAGCTTTATGTGAAGAATTGATAATGCGTAAAAAATTTATGGCAGTTATGAAGAAAAATATTAAATTTACACTGAAAAAAAATTCTAGTTAGAATAACCAGAATTCTGGTTAGGGTATATTTAACATTTTGATTCTGGTTAGGTTAACCAGAATTCTGGTTATTTTAACGAGAATTCTAGTTAATTCAACTAGAATTCCGGTTAACATAACTAGAAAGTAATGTTAAATATACCCTAACCAGAATTTTTTTTTCAGTGTAGATAAAACTTTTTCGACAAAAAATATAACCTAGAAATTTTGACATTACGAATTGACTTGTGATTTGTTGCATACACTGTAAATTTCTCTATAATTTTACATACAGTGTATGCGAAGTAAAAAACCTACATCGTGTGAGACATTTTTACAGGATATAGTAACTGTACATTGAGGTTATGTGGATTCACTTGCACCTGTAAAATTACTAAAAGTTGTAAATTTAATAAATTTAACTAATAATTGTGATTCGAAGTACCCGATGTAACAAGACGACATACGAAACGACATTAATTTAATTATAACAGATTATTAAAATAGTTGTTTAGTAAACGAAATCAGGCAAAAAAAATGCAAAAGTAAACAAATTTTTAAATTTAAAGAAAATTTAATTGTCGATGTATTTTTCTATCAATATGTGATTTTACAATGAAAGTGAATTTTGAACCAATGTTAATCCTTTTGGTCCCTTTAGCCTCAGTTCTTCTCAACTAAGGTATTTTGTTTTTTAAAAAAAGATTTTATATAATTTTTAAATAATAAACATTTTTTCCTCTAAAAATTCTATTTTACATTTTAATAGCAGTTGTATGCATTATACAATTTTTCAAAATTCTTATTAATTTTATATTTTTAAATATAATAATAAATTATTTTATTATTTTAATTTTTTATTTATACATATGTAATAATTATAATTGAAACTTCATTTCAAATATGATAAAATGATTTAATATCTATTAAAAAGAAAAAATTCTGCTTTTTTATTTAAAGAATTCTTGTTTATTATTTGTATTTACAGAATTCACACTAGGAGAAGAATTCGATGAAATTCTTATCTATAGATGAGATGACAAACGACAACATCTACTGAATTTTCGAATAAGTGAGTATTTCTTGTCACTTTTTTTGTGTGTAAATATTTATTAATTAAAGTTTTTTCTGCTTTTGATGAAGAAACTTATTATTTTTCTTATTAATTATTTATTTTTTACAAAGTTAACTATTTGAACAGTTTCGGATGAAAATTACATTAAATTTATTTTTAAAACAGAAATATTGTCAATTAAAATTTACAAAAAAAACTGAGATTAAAAAAATATTTAATTTTTATAAAATAAAGTTAAAAAATAATTAAATTAATTTTATTTTAAGTTTATTTGTAAAATAATTGTTTTTTCTCAATTTACAGGTGTCCAATCATGAAGGATGGGTGTATGTTGCGGAGCTGCTCCTGGAGGAGATCTTGCATTGCTGAGTCGCAGTTCAATGTATGTTAATAAATTTTTTCCCTTAATTTATTTATATTTTAAGATGTACTTTGTTTAAATATTTAGAAATAATAATAATAATAATTAGTATTAAAAATATACTTAAAAATTTATAAACAAGTTCCAGTATACCAGTAAAAAATAGTTAAGAATATTTTTAAATATTTTGCAGTTTAATAGTTTTTTTTTATTAATTTAACATTTATAAATATTGAAATATTTAAAAGTATAATAATAATTATTATTAGAATAATAAAGTAATTGTTTTTAATATTTGATTTTACAAATGTAATATAATGGATTTTTTTTTTTTAGGCAGTTGGTCAGGAAAGGAAAGAGTTGTCCATTGAAAGAGAGGATGCGCAGAAATTCTCCCTTATAGGTGAGTCTTTTTTCCAAAATTTTTCTAGAATATCAATAAATGTAATAAAAAAAAAATTAAAAAATTTTTGTAATATTTATAAATATTAATATTTTTAAAATTAATTGATAATATTGAGGATTTTTAATATTTTTCTTTATACACATATAACATCATGAATCTCAGTCACTACGCAGAAATCCTCTCATATAGGTGAGTTTTTTTTCAATATATGCCCGTGTGGAAAAGTGATGTGGGCCCCCAGCGGGGGCCCTTATGGATCGCCCTCATGCCATGAGGGCCGCATATGGATGATCCATAGGGGCCCCTCATGGAAACGACATGCTCATCGATGAGGGCGCCCGCATGGGCGATCCATGAGGGTGCCCCTACGGGCGCCCTTATGGGCCCTCACGTTTGCCCTCATCTTGCCCTCAAGTTTGCCATAATGTTTTTTAATCAATAATATTAATAATAAAAGTTAATTAATAATAAATAAGCTTAAGTTATGAATAAATAACATATTTATTTAATAATTATTCAATTTTAAATTAAATTCTTACTCAAATTGAATTTATTAATTAACGTTCTAATTAATTAACTGTCGGATATAATTAAAAGTAATAATAAATTAATTAATTAAAAAATTAAAAAATATTTAATTTATGCATACTATTAACGGATATTTTCATTTTTCAATTAATTCATACATAGAATTAATGATTAAACGCAAACCTGAGAAATAAATAAATCTAACGCATGGGGGGAATCGAACCTACGACCTACGGACTATGAGTCTAACGCTTTACCAACTACGCTACGCACGCTACTTCAAAACGAATGCTAACTTCTTGATGCTTTTTAAACTTCAAAAATACCTAACAAAGAAAAGTGCTTAACATCATTTAGTTAAAGTTAAGATATTAAATTATATTTTCCAATCAAATGCAATTTATAAAATATAATTAATTATATGCTTTATGATTATTATCATGAATCATCTCAGGTGAATTTTCAAAAAAAGTGTAAATATATTTTTATTAAAAACGCGTTTTTCGTTGTTCTGAATCATTGGAAACATTCATTTTTTGTTGACGAAAAAATATTTGAATTTTGGACTTAGAAAATTTTGCTAATCGATCATGAGGGCGATCCATGCGGGGCCCCTCATGGATTCGCCATATGGATCAGCCCTCATGGGCCCCCGCCGGGGGCCCCGAACTCTTGAGGGCAAGATCGTGGCTTTTTCCACACGGGTGTAGTTAATTTTATATACAAATTTGACAATTATAATTGATTTAAAACTCACACATAAAAATTTATAACTGGGTTTAATTATTTTTTTTATTAAATTAATTACAAAATTTATTTTAAATTAATTTCGTTACACGTATATGTAAAAAAATGTGAAAACTATAAATTAATTTAACATTAATTTGGAATTAATTGATTAAAAAATAACTCGGCATTTCATATTGTTTTGAGAAAATAATTGTAAAATTTAATTTTTTAATAAATTTCTTTTTTTTATTTTTTCAGCTCCATTCCAATTTTCCAAATATCTGAAGAGACTAGGAAGGATGTGGAAGAAGAAAAGTGGCCCCTGCAACATTTTTTTTTATAAAATTTTTTTTTCTTTTTTCTTATTTTTTTATAATATTTTTTGTTTGAGCTCCCGGCCTCACGCAGAAGTGCGAGCAAGAAAGAGGGATCCTCGGGCGAGCTGGCCCTGAAGCGCTCGAGAGTGGCAATGACGTTACTGCCCCGACGTGGGATGATTCGCCGATCGGTGAGTCGTTTTTTATTTAATCCCTTCCCTGTTTAAAACAGCTAATGTTTTTATAAATTCAATTAAAAATAGATTCATAAATTCAAAATTAATTTTCTGTATATATTCTTAATTTATAAATTTTAAAATTTTCTTTCCTTTTTTAAAAAACGTAGATATATCAAATTGATCCAAATAAAATATTTAAATTTAAAAATAAACAGGAACGGAATTCTGACAACATGGTGACACCATTGACAAAATATATTATTTTGTAGTATTTTTTAGGGGTAATTTAAAAAAAGTGTGTGATATTTTTGGAAATTTAGCCCCTCAAAATTTCTAACACTCCCCACACTGAAAAAAATTATTTGATTCAAATACTCGATTACTTGACTATTATCAAATAAATATTTACTTGAACCAAATAATTTTTATTTGGAATTAAATAAATTGTATTTGAACCAATAATTTCTGTATTTGAAACAAATATCATTTATTTGACTCAAATAATAATTATTTGATACAAATAAATATTTATTTGATAATAGTCAAGTAATCGAGTATTTGAATCAAATAATTTCTTTTTTTAAGTGCACATCCTAAAATATTACCTGTTTTGTGGATTACTACCTTAATACTATCTAAATTAATATTATTGTCAATGTTTCTTTTCAATGTTTATATATGTATGTTATTTATTTACATGTTTAATATTTTTAATGTTTTCTAATTTTTCATATCGAGTAAAAATAATTTTCTTTTCTCTTAAAAAAAGTAATTTAAACTAAATTTATAAAATTTTATTAACTTTACATAATTTAATTAATTAATCTTGTTAACAAATTTTCAATTTTGCATAGTAAATTTTTAATTTAATTCTCAAAAGTTAAAAGTTAATGCATGTGGAATTAAAAAGTAAAAGTTTTTAATAATTTTTCAATAATGGACTAATTTAATGTTTTTTAAAATATAAATATAGGTAGGAAATTCGGGAAAAATGGGAATTTTTTTTCGTTTTAAATATAGCAATAGGTAGGGAAATCGGGTAAAAAAATGTATGTGAAAAAGCAAGTAACTGGAGTACAAGTGAAAATTTGCTTTATTTCAATCTTTCTTCTTTTTTTGTCACTATGTTTTCTTTTATCTTTTAATGGTTTGTAAATGTTTTTTTAAGTGTTTTGTGAATGTATTTTTTAAATTTATCATTATTTTCAGTTGAATCATCGTGGTGAGCAAAAATATTTCGTTTCAATTGTAATAATCATTTATTTTTTCAGGAATATTTAATTTATTATACTCTTAATCTATTAATTAGTATTAGTATTTATTATACTACATTTATCATATATGAAAATTTTATTACTATTTAAAAAAATGAAATTATATGCCACTATCTCTACTCAAATTAGTTAACATTGTAATTATTTTGATTTATTATTTTATACTTTTAGTATAAATTAATATAAATTAATATTTTTATTTGAGTTGAGAATTTAGAGAATACTTATAATTTTAAATTAAATTTAAATAACAAATTTTTTTTTTACTATTGAAAATTTTTCCGGTATTTTTTTGTTTTAATTTTATAATTCAACATTTTTTTTACAGTGAGCGGTATTCATATTTCGAGTAAGTATAACGTTTCCGTGTTATTAAACTTATTGACTTAAAATTAATTTATATTTCATTCATTTTTTAGAAACATTTAAAATCTAATTTTAAATTCTCTGTAAAAAATCGTATCCAAAATATAGACGCTCATAAGTTTTGGTGTTCTAGAGTCTTAACAAAGAAAAAGGTCAGATTTTTATAGTCATTTATTACAATTTTTTATACATAAAATTTCTATATTTTCTTCTAATTAAAAAGCAAAGTTAGAGATTGTAAATTGAAAACTAAATAAATAGGAGAAAAAAATTTTAGACAGTTAAAGGTTAGAATTACAGAAAATTTGAATTTACAGATTCCTTTACCGGTATTTCTTTGGCTGATTCCTTTGGTAGACAATCAAATTGTGCCCATTTGCAGAGTAAACATTTTTTCAAAGTTGACGATGCTGTTTGTGCGCTACATTTCCAACAAAAGAAAAAAAATATAGTAAGTTTTTTTATTGTTATTTATCCAAATTTTTGATAGAATATTTATTCAAAAATATTGTCAATTTAATTAATTTTTAAGTTTATTTTAATAATGATAATTTTTTAAATAAAAATATATAATACTAAATAATGATTATTATATAATATATTATTATTGATATTGTTATATATTTTTTTATTACATGAAAATAATAATAATATATTTATATAAAAAAAATAATGAAAACAATTAATCATGCTCACTCAATTAATTGTAGGAGATAATCTTTAGAATTTTATGAAAAGAAAAAATATGTAGGAATTTTACAAATCATATCACATGTCTTAGGGTGATAATATTAAAGATGGGTGAATGAGGGGAAATCGGCGTTATGAGGGTGAGGAAAGAATAGGGGGGTTTATACTCGGTGTCAGTGAATCAGTTGCACAACTTGATCGTGTGTGTTCGTATCGCTTACCAGTTTCCTATATAATTTTCTTTATTTAATTCGAGTACTAATTTTTTATTTTTCTTCTAATTAAACGAACACGTGAGTTTATATATTTGAAAATTAAAAAATTTCTGCAAAATTGAACAAGAATTTCTTTTACAATAGGTAAATTACTTTTTGTTATTTAGAGAAAATTAAGGAAATAATGTTTACACTGGCCAACAAAATTTTGGGGCCCAAAGGGTTACAGCCGATTCTTATAGGATTTTGTCCGTAGAATCCGAATCTGGCCATGAAAATGCTGGATTGGCTCTAGTTTTCGAGCAATTTAGGTTTAAAGGTGTCAAAAACTGCATTTTCGGCACTTTTTGAACGTCTGTAAAACAATCAAGCTACACAATAAAACAGTCCGCATACGACAAAATAAAAGCTTAATTATTACCCTTTGAGACCCTAAAACAAAAGATTAGGTAATTTAAACTTTAAAATATTGGTAACAGTTCTTGAACTCGCGGATGCCCGAATTATGCTCAATGATTTCACGTGCATTTCCTAATGCATAGGACTGAACTTAAATTGTTTTTTTAGTATTTTTGAGCCGTTGACTACGAATTTGAAGTCAGGTTTCAAAATTTCAAAATGGCGGATCCAATATGGCGGACAGGAAAATTAAAAAATCGTTGGGTTTGTCATAAAACTTGGTACTGGGGAGTTTTTGGGGTCGCTGATTACGAATTTAAAGTCAGATTTCAAAAATTCAAAATGTATTCACCATTTAAAATTTTTGAAATCTAACTTTAAATTCGTAATTAGCGACACCTGAAACTCCCTAGAATCATGTCTCATGACAATCCGAAAGATTCTCAATTTCTTTTGTCTGCCATATTGAATCCGCTATTTTAACTTTTTAAAATCTGACTTTATATTCGTAATCAGCGACCCTGAAGACTTTCGAATACCAAGTTTTATCAAAATACAAACTTTTAATTTTTATATCCGCGAAATTGAATACGTCAGTAAAATTTTTTAAAATATGACGTTAAATTTGTAATCAGCGACCCCAAAAACTCCCCTGTACCAAGTTTTTTGGCAAACCCAACAATTTTTAATTTCTGTGTCCGCCATGTTGGATCCGCCATTTTGAATTTTTGAAATCTGACTTTAAATTCGTAATCAGCAACTTTAAAAACTCCCCAGTACCAAGTTTTATGAGAAACCCAACGATTTTTTAATTTTCGTGTCCGCCATATTGGATTCGCCATTTTGAAATTTTGAAACCTAACTTCAAATTCGTAGTCAACGGCTCAAAAATACTATAAAAACAATTTAAGTTCAGTCCTATGCATTAGGAAATGCACGTGAAAGCATTGAGCATAATTCGGGCATCCGTGAGTTCAAAAACTGTTCCCAATATTTTAAAGTTTAAATTACCTAATCTTTTGTTTTAGGGTCTCAAAGGGTAATAATTAAGCTTTTATTTCGTCGTATGCGGACTGTTTTATTGTGTAGCTTGATTGTTTTACAGACGTTCAAAAAGTGCCGAAAATGCAGTTTTTGACACCTTTAAACCTAAATTGCTCGAAAACTAGAGCCAATCCAGCATTTTCATGGCCAGATTCGGATTCTACGGACAAAATCCTATAAGAATCGGCTGTAACCCTTTGGGCACCATGAAATTCTTGAAATTTTGTTGGCCTGTGTTATATATATATATATGAATATAGTCAATAATTTTTTTAAAAATTAAACTAATTAAATATCATAATATACAAAATTTTTTTGTTGTCATCAAATGCAATTTTATTTCAAATATTTAGTATACACGGAAAAAATTAATTCAGTAGATTTTACAGAACTATCACGGAGTAGCGGATACAGCTCTTTACGAAACTGAGTGTTGTAAAATGTCACTAAATATTCAGGATAAACTTCAGAAATATTCAGTATAAACAATGAAATTTCTGTAGTTTATCCGAAAATATCTATCACATTTTACAAAACTCTGTTTCGTAAATAGCTGTATCCGCTACTCCGTCACAGTTTTGTAAAATATACTGAATTAATTTTTTCTCTATAGAGAAAAAATTTGAGAAAATTTGAATTCAATATTCGGCAATAATACACGGAAAAAAAACTGCAACTGAACCGGTGAATGTTTTAGCCAAAACAGCTAAACATTTAGTCGAAAATGAACGAGCGATATTGGCAATATCACCGGACTGGCGATATTGGATTTTAGTTAAAGAACAACATAACCGAAAAATGACAAATATGACAAATTATGTAGAGAGTAATATTAAATGCGTATTTTTAAATCTATTCAATTTTATATTTCATATTGCAAACAATTGAAAATAAATTCAAATTAAAACTGTTTTAAAATTAAAGATCACAAAACTTGATATTTGTGATTTAAGAAATATTTCTTGGTAAGAACGGTAAATTTCCAAATATTTTCAATATGGCTGACGAATGAGATTCAACTTATGTCTTTTTTCATATTAAATATATTCCCAAAATCGTTCGTTCACGTCTTACAATTTTTTTCCGTGTATGATTGATACCTATATGCATGTGTATATTGAAGATGTATTAAGGTCAACGATTCATTGGGGTTGTTATATTGATATACTAAATTTCCTTATTGCAATATTTTCATTACGACAATTTTTCGTTTTATTCTTTTTTATTTATTTATTTATTGAAAATATACGGGCAAAGCCCATTCGTACAGAGTACTACAGAGATACATTGTATGTCGTTTGTATTAATTGACTGCGTTGTTGTTAAGGTAATTGAAAATCAAAATTCGCAAATTTTTATTGAAAATTGTGAGTGAATTACAGAAAAAATCAATGCTGTTGTTAAACTGGTTTGCCTCATTGCTCAGTCTGTTGATTACTGAATTTGTTATATAGTTTTCTTTAATAAAAGGTAGTTTAAATAATGGTGGGTTTCTAGGAGACCTTTGTGGCACATAAAAATCGAATAAGAACAAAAGGTCTGAGCAGTTAATACGACCGTTGATAATTTAAAATAAAATAGAAGATCAACAAACAAAAATCTTTCAGACATCAACGGTATATTGAGTTTACTTCTAATTTTACTATATTCATGACTATTATAGTCTAATAGTAAACCAGTTTGTCTGTCAGCAAAACGTAATTTATTCATTTATTTCGTAATAATTTTTATAGAAATGTTTTTACATTTATAGTAGAGTATATTTTTTTTCATTATTTTTTACTTATTGTATTCTAAAAATTTAATTTCTCATTTTTTCCATAAATTTTATTAAAAAAATTGTTTTCTTTAAATTCTACTATATTCGAAAAAAGAAATTTCTTTGAATGCATTTTGTTTATCTCAAACAAAGTGCAATCAAAGTATTTCCTTTGAAGAAAGAGTGGGCAAAAGAAAATTTGTTTAAATCAAATAACTTCCGTATTTATTAATATAAATTTTTGTTTATATGTATATATATATAAAAACAAAAAACAATATAGCCGCCTCTGTGAAAATTGAGTAACTTTGCTAATTAATGATTTTAATTTTAGTTAATTAACTTTCCTTTTACTCGGTCATTTTGCAGTGTTCGACGATAAGTAGTGATGAGATTATTTTTTTTTGTACTCTATATTCGTGAAAAAAAATCCACTGGATTTTAATTAGTCGCTAAATTTGATATCTGAATTTTTTCATTTTTGATTTCGATTTATAGAGATTCACCTACTTGAATGTGAATTTTTTTAATTTTTCTAAAGCTTTGTGGCTAAATTGTAGGTACTTTTAATTGTAATAAATTGACATAGTTATAGTTTCGCATGATAGTAAATTTTAATTACTTTTCTATTAAATTTATCATAAATATGTCTATAAATTTACTTTTATCACAAATACTCATGTTTTAATTTAAGAAAATTTGTTCCTTTTTATGAGCTTTACGATTAATAAAAATAGTTTTTTTTTTAATTTTTTAAAATAGTTTTTACACTTTTAATATAATTTTTCTTTCGGATTTCCAAAAAAAGATAGTTTATTTGATTTCAACTTTTCTCTAGACGCAAAATTGAAAAAATTCAAATTTATCCGAATTTAAAAATATTCAATTTAGAAGTAGGTTTTACATCCTTCTGACGTGAGTCAAAATTTCACAATAAAAACGAAAAAAATTCCTGATCAATATCCATAGTTAGTTAACTTGAAAGTATCAAATTGATTTAAATTTTTATGTCAATTTAATACACTGAAAAAAAATTTTTTGAATCAATTAATCGGTTACTTGAAAATAATCAAATGAATATTTACTTGTCTTAAATAATTATTATTTGAGTCAATTTTATTTTATTAAATTTTTTTTTATTATATGGCATTTGTTTTAAATACAAAAATTATTGGTCTGAATACCGTTTCTTCTCTCTAAATGTAAACCAGCGAAATTTCGCTAATTCTCAGCTATAAGTATACAACTGATTTTACAATTAGTGAAATTTCACTGATTGTGCAGTGTATATGCGCTAATTGGAATCAGTTGTATACTTTTCGCTGATTCAAA